GGCTTCTCTCATGTCCCTGGATGAGAAGCTGGAGCTGACAGATGGGAACTCCCCTTCCCCCTCCCAGAATTCGAACCGCCGACCTTTCAGTCAGCAGTCTTGTCGGCTTAAGGGTTTACATCACACTACTGGGGGCTCCGTACAGAAAGTTATGGCTAGTGCAAATCATATTTTGTTTTCAGGCTAGGATTAAACTGAGTTTTGCGTGTTCACTGGATCACCGGTTTGTGCAGAACACAATCCGCTCCACTGAAACACACTGGAAAATGATGGCTTGTTGAGAGTTAGAATCTGAAGTTTTAATCTCCCCTCATATATAAATGAGGGAACAAAATCAAGTGAACAATTAAGAGAAAATGTGCAACGGGCTGTCAGGAAACAGGTGGCCTGCGTTGCTAAAACCATGGGGGTGGGGACAGGACACATTGGCTTTTCAGATATCAAGCCTTATCTCCTGACTTGTTTAGTATATCAGTATTCATGAACAGGGTTGTATTTTTGGGGTAAACTTTGTCCCGTTTCGTGTCCCGGCTTTCTTTGGGGACCCCAATCTGTTTTTGGATGCTTCCCAAAAAATTGGGAGGGTTGTTTTTGGTTTGGGGCCCTGAAAATCGGACCATTACAGAAAGGGAGGTGCTCCCCACCCACTGGCTCCTCTTCCTGGCGTGTGCTTCCGTATTTCCTCCCACAAATCGTTGGGGAGGGCCTTCTTTGCCCCTTCCATTATCACAAACACGACTTATGGGAAAGAGGGAGAGAGCCTTCTCCTCCGTGGCCCTCCCGACTCTGGAACGCATTGCACAGGGAAATAAGGCAAGCCTCCACCCTAGAAACTTTCAAGAAGAACCTGAAAACCTTGGCTTTTCCGTTGCGCTTTTGGAAAGTGATTTTACATTCCCCTTTGTCTTTCCCCTAAAAATGGGTGTTTTCATATTGCACTGCCTCCTGCCCGCAAGAAGGACTTTCTCCACTACTCCATTCATGAGTTTCCCTTACAAATATATATGTTTTATTTCTATCTCATCCTGAGTTTCTATCACTGTATCTTGCGCATGTGGCCCGCTCATTGTGATTGTGTTTGAGTTTATTGTATTACTTTGCACTATTTATTGTATTTTATGCTTGTTTCATTTTATTGTGATGTTATTTTATGCTTGTTATCTTATTGTATTGTAATGCACTACTGGGCTTGGCCTCATGTAAGCCGCCCCGAGTCCCCTTTGGGGAGATGGTGGGAGAGGTGGAGGGTATAAAGTTTATTTATTTCTTTGGAGCCCCCGGTGGCGCAATGGGTTAAACCCCTGTGCCGGCAGGACTGAAGATCAACAGGTCGCAGGTTCAAATCCGGGGAGAGGCGGATGAGCTCCCTCTATCAGCTCCAGCTCTTCATGTGGGGACATGAGGGAAGCCTTCCACAAGGATGATAAAAACATCAAATCATCCGGCCGTCCCCTGGGCAACATCCTTGCAGACGGCCAATTCTCTCACATCAGAAGTGACTTGCAGTTTCTCAAGTCGCTCCTGACACGACAAAAAAAATTAAAATAAATTATTTATTTATTTTATTCTTATCTGGTACCTGCTGTTTCTACTCAAGAATAAGAGGTCCTCGACTGTAGGCACTGGCAGGCGTGTGCGTTTTCTGGGCCTTTCTGCATGCCATGCCACACACACTCTCTCTCTCTCTCCTTGGAAAAAGAGTGTGTGGGTGTGTGGCAGGGCATGTATGCAGGCCCGCAAAGCTCACACGCCTGCCAGTGTGTGCAACGAAGTGCCTCTTACTCTAAAGTAAGAGGCGCTCAGCTGCAGGTTCATTCCGGGTCTGCTTGGACACCCCAATCACACACCCATTCTCCAAGAGTGCGTGTATGGCGGGGTGTGCAGGCAGGCCTGGAGGGAGCCTGCAGCTGAGCTCCGGGCCTGCCACACATGCACTCTCTTTCCAAGGCAAGGAGCCAACGAAAGCAGACGAAAGCAGGTTTTCATGTTGAGGAGATTTTCATGTGGGGAGGGTGCTTCCTGTTTTATGCTCCCAAAGAAACAGAAGACATGAAAGAAACAGTAGGAACGAATTCTGTGCACGACTCTATTCATGAAGTTTCTTGTTGATCCTTTTGGCAAAACATCTTATACTACTCTCTTTTGCCTGAATTTTGATAACAGCACAGAGAATAAATTCCTGCCTCATATTCTTCTGGAAAAATCCTTACCCAGAACCCTATAGGCTCAAGACCCATTCCAGATTTAAGCCCAAGCAACAACGGATACCACCTTCTTCTAAATTTATGCAACATTATTTTGTTTTTAAATGGAATCCAAGATAATTCTTGGCCAGAGGGCTCTGTTATCCTGATCTGCTTCTTCTTTGGCTTCTACTACTAATTAGTATTTGTGTGAGTGTCCTAGTATGTTTTCAAGTGGGTGTTTTTCAAACAGTGGATGACTTGGGTGGGGGATTAATTATTAATTCTGCTTTGGAAACTGTTAGCCATGAGGCTAGTTATACATATGATAATAAATAAAACATTCTGGGGACATTAGGATTTTCTCTAACTGGCAGATTGCTAAGAAAGGAATAGGACTCATTCAGTTTTCTCCTGATATTGTTGGACTGCAACTCCCAGTGCATCTCAACCTTAGTTATGCAGGCCTGAGCTGATGAAAGTCCAAAAACAGATGTATAATTCTCACCTCTGCAATGAGAAAGCAATGTACAAATCAGATTTCACCAAATTGCCATGAGGACTGTGGAAGCAAGATTCACTGAGAAAAATTGCTTAGCTTCTCCAGACTAAAAAGTTCTCAACTCAAAGAGGTATATGACAGAACATAATACAGCATCTTAGGGATGTAGTAATCCGCAGCTTGGGGGTCCTCCTGGACTCATCACTGAGCCTGGAATCCCAGGTTGCAGCGGTGGCCAGGGGAGCTTTCGCACAATTAAAACTTGTGTGCCAGCTTTGCCCGTACCTTGGGAAGTCAGACTTGGCCACGGTGGTCCACATTCTCATTACATCTAGGATAGATTACTGCAGCACACTCTACATTGGGTTGCCTTTGAAGACTGCTCGGAAGCTTCAAATAGTCCAACGAGAGGCAGTCAGGTTAATAACTGGGGTGGCATACAGGGAGCATACAACTCCCATCTTGGCTATCAGTTTGCTACCGGACACAATTCAAAGTGCTGGCTTTGGCCTATAAAGCCCTAAACGGCCCCAGCCCAAATTACCTGTCTAAACACATCTCCCCCTATGAACCATCGTGGAGATTAAGATCCTCCGAGGAGGCCCTGCTTTCCATCCCGCCATTGTCACAGGCACGATTGGTGGGGACGAGAGACAGAACCTTCTCGGTGATTGCTCCCCGGCTATGGAACTCCCTTCCTGGTGAGATCAGGTCGGCCCCTTCTCTCCTGCCCTTTAGAAGGATGGTAAAAGATTGGCTGTGGGACCAGGCTTTCGGGACAGGGCAATAAAGCAGCAATAGGAAAGGTTACCAGGCCAATGAGATTTGACGTGGATGACTAAGATGGTTTTAAATGGTGTATTTTAATATTTTGATAAATGTTTTTAATGTTTATGTATGTATATAAGAATTTGTGTCTGGCATTGAATGTTTGCCATATATATGCTGTGCTCTGCCCTGAGTCCCCTTCGGGGTGAGAAGGGTGGAATATAAATGTTTTAAATCAATAATAATAAATAAATAAATTTGAATGCTGGAGTAGGACTGAAGGAGACCAGCATCTGAATGACAAATTATCTCTGAGTAAATCTTGCTAGAAAAATGCTTTGGCAGGGTTGCCATATGGATTCAACTTGAAAGCACATAACAACAATACAGAATCCAGCAGCAGAACATGGGAAACACACAGTGCTGATCAGTGTGTTGAATACTTGACTTTTCAACTCTTTGGGGACAGATATAAGAGCTCCCAGTCCATCTGTGAGCACAAGTGCCAGTTTTCACCTACAAAACCCAGTTCAAAGCAGATATTGTGAATTATCTGCCTCGATATTACGGTTATATGGCTGTGTGGAAGATCCCTCAGATGCCACTGGGAAGCCCATAGAGAGGGCATAAGGACTCTCAGTATTCCTCAATTGCTCTCAGTATTCCTCAACAACAAATATTCAGAGACACTTTCTTTGTCCGAGGTAGCACCTCCCAGCCACTATGACTAGTAATTTTCTATATGCCTGCTCACACGTGTTGAATTTCACTTCAGAGGCTCCTCTCCATCTCTCACTGCTGCTTGAGGGGAGGCAGATGATATAAGGCAGTGGTTCTCAACCTGTGGGTCCCCAGGTGTTTTGGCCTACAACTCCCAGAAATCCCAACCAATTTACCAGCTGTTAGGATTTCTGGGAGTTGAAGACCAAAACATCTGGGAACCAACAGGTTGGGAACCACTGATATAAGGCCTTTTGTGATGGCATGCCACACTTGGAACTACTTCCTAAATAACAGCAGTGGTATACCTCAAAAGTTAGGTAACCTTTCTGGTGCCAAGTGAAACTCTTTTTTAAACCTTAGTTTCATCACTTAAGGATGTTGCTTCTTTTCAGTTGTTGTTCTGACTTCTAATTTTAATTGATTTAATTCCCTTCTTTACAATAATAAAGCTTGCAGAGGAGGCCACTTTAGGAACCTGTGTTGAAGATTGGGACATTACATGTCCACATAATTATATACAGAAATGAAACCAATCTTTTGATGACCTCTTTGATTACTTTTGCACAAAATGGGGATGCGAAAACATAATCATGGCAGACCGAAGAAAAACCAATTCTCTTTTGATAGTTATTCAGACTTGACATAGGAAAATTATGGGCTAAAAAAGAAAATATATATAATCACTGATTACTGATTAGAATATAAAGCTCCCAATCATAAAAAAGGGTGTGTAAATGAATTAAAGCAAAGATGCAAGATGGAAAGCAGATACAGAAAGTTGGGAGTTTAAATGAGTAAGCCCATTCCCATCCTTATTTTTTTACCTGTTGTTCTGTTTGCAGTATCTGAGCTCTTGCCAAGGCGATCAGCTTCTAACCACTGGTATAAGACTACATGACATAACAGAAACAAAAAGCACGTATGAACAAAATGAATGGAAAATGCATACACACACAAAACAAGGTTAAAAAAGAGAGATACAAGAGACATGCGCTATGAGGTCAGTGACTGTTTCCTTGTTGGTGGAGAGCAAAAGACAAGACAATGAATGTTAGAGATGCATACATGCACATTCACATAAAACACAGTGTGTGGAATAAATGTCCTGCAATAGCACAAGTGAGATGAGTAGAGCTCTTCTCATACCAAAACCACCACAACCACTTCCCACGCATTTCAAATCTGTTTAGGCTCACATGTCAAACCGGTTGTTAAAACAGTGAAACACATGGAGGGCCAGTTCAGATGTCACGGTTTCTATAACTAGCATCAGTGGAGGGGTGCTATGTGGCAGTGTTCCACCCAGAAGAAGCAGTACATGTTAAAGAAGCAATGCCAAACTATCTTCCATCCTGAGCTTGGAAAAGGCACTTTTTGGACTACAAATTGAAGAACCCCTTTGCCATGGCTGGGGGATTCCCATAATCATCCAAGATGCAACTTATTGGTTATTGGTTTTTGTTGAGCATTGTTTTGATAGAGTTTCAACACTGCTGTTTTATATTCTTATGTTTTATTTACAGTAGAGTCTCACTTATCCAACATAAATGGGCCAGCAGAATGTTGAATAAGCAAAAATGTTGGATAATAAGGAGGGATGAAGGAAAAGCCTATTAAATGTCAAATTATGTTATGATTTTACAAATTAAGCACCAAAACATCATGTTTTACAATAAATCGACAGCAAAAGCAGATCAATACACGGTAACATTATGTAGTAATCACTGTATTTACTAATTTAGCACCAAAACATTGCAATGTATTGAAGCAGCTGTGGATTTGGGCCGGAGGCAGACTGCATGGATTATTTATTGATTTATTTAGTTATTTAGTTATTTTGTCGTGTCAGGAGCAACTTGAGAAACTGCAAGTCACTTCTGGTGTGAGAGAATTGGCCGTCTGCAAGGATGTTGACCAGGGGACGCCTGGATGATTTGAATAATAATGAACGTTGGATGAGCAAAGATTGGATAAGTGAGACTCTACTGTAATTGTGTTTTTCTCAGGATTGTCATATTTTACTATGCTCTTATTTTAATTGTGTTTTTTCCTAAATGGATTGTTTTGTATTTGTGTCTTGTGGGCATTTTGTCCTATTATGTAAGCCACTCCAAGTCCCTTCGGGGAGATGGTAGCAGAGTATAAGTATAAAGTTGCTGTTATTACTGTTGTTGTTATTTTACTGAGACAAAAACACAGTATGTCACAGCAAACGAGATATATATGCTGGATTTCGTATCACAAAATCACAAATTGAACAATTCCAAAGTGTTTAGGACTGTGTGATGTATTTTCGAATGATGCGTAGAGCTCCAAGTAAGGTGGCCTTTTGCAGTTGATAGACTATGATTTTGTCAATGTTGGTTATTTCCAAATGCCTGCTGAGATCTTTTGGAATGTTGTTGCTGTTGTTGCTGTTGTTGTTACATTAGAATCTTGCTTATCCAACATAATAACTAGTATTCTTTATTATTATTATTATTATTATTATTATTATTATTATTATTATTATATTAGAGTCTTGCTTATCCAACATAATAACTGTTGTTGTTGTTGTTATATTAGAGTCTTGCTTATCCAACATAATAACTATTTTTGTTGTTGTTGTTATTGTTATTATTATTGTTGTTGTTGAGTCTTGTTTATCCAACAAAAACAGGCAGGCAGAATGTTGGATAAGCGAAAATGTTGGATAATTAGGAGGGATTAAGGCAAAGCCTATTAAACGTCAAATTATGTTATGATTTTATAAATTAAGCACCAAAGCACCATGTTTTACAACAGATTGACAGAAAAACTAGTTCAATACATGGTAATGGTATGTAGTCATCACAGTATTTACGGATTTAGCACCAAACATTGCAATGTATTGAAACAGCTGTGGATCCAGGCGGGAGGAAGACTGCCTTGGATAATACAGAACATTGGATGAGCAAAGGTTGGATAAGCAAGACTCTACTGTATTATTAACTTGTCCATATCCTAGTTCCAAGACATTCTTGCATGCTATACAAAGAGCAGCAATATTCCTTGAAAAAATAAATCTGTCAATCTTGTGCATGTAAGAAGTCTCAGGCAGCACTGATTCTGTCCATTTCTACCAATATGGGGGAATAAACAGAGAAATTAAGAAATGCAAAGATTCCTCTATCATATTCCAACAAAGGAAAATCCTTGAGGTATGTAGCCTGGAAAAGAAGAACTGCATTCCTGAGTCCTGAGGAACATTGGTGTGAGAGCTGACTGAGAATTTGATGTCCCCAGCTTTAACCTAGAAATAAAAAAATGTTACTCGCATGAACATCAGGTGTCTGTTAGGACAAGGTGTTTGAGATGGGCTTGAACAAGCTTTGGAACTAGCCAATAGGATTGAAAAGGGAACTTAGGATTGAAGGACATAATCACGAAGGGCGAGGTCAAAAATCAAGTAAGATGGGGCCAAGACCAAAGAATAACCAAGTATAAAGGGATATACTAGAACTCAATGAGAGTTTCCTAGTTGCTTGAACCTTGCTCAATTAGAACAGAAAATCTTCTTACAATACTTCCTATTCAGGAGGATTCAATGGCCAGCTGGATAGATGGGAGTCAATTCAGGGCTTGAAATTACTTCATTGAGAAGATACCATTCCTATGATTAATTATGTGAGAGCGCTGCATACAGATTTGGCAGCTCTTGGCAGAGTTTGGGAAAATGCCAGCGCAAATGCTATCTGCCCCAAGCACTGCCCTATCCTCATGTCACTGACTCTATGCAAATCTCTGCTGACGCATTCCCTGGAAGCCACACAGGATTGGCATTCATTGATTACATATGACTGTGTGATGCTAGAGGGGAGGTGCATTAAAAATACTACTTTCATGTGCCAAAAAAGCAAGTGCTTCAGGGAGTGACAACTCCTAGCACATCTACAAACAGAATGAGGTGAGGTGTTAAGTACAGCAACCGAAAAAGAACTTTTTAAAAAAAAAGTAATATTAGTACATAAGACTATAAAAAGAAGATGGCTGAAACCAAGAAATCCAGACTAACCAGTATGCAGCTAGATAGTTGTTTTTTTTGTTAAAATGTGGTGCTAATAATTTGATAACTTCAATCCCGATAGTGTACAGCTACTTTGATACAAGACAAAATGCTGATAAACATGGGTTATGGAATTTAGTACGTGAACGATCATGAGTAAAAGTGACATACATCAACAGCATGTTGGACATTATGCCATATTCTATGCACCCAAAGACCAATCGTCCTGATCGCTGCCTGGCCTGCACTGCACAAATTGAGATTGAACCAGTATAGGACCTCAAATCTTCTTCACCGAAATGCTTTCTTTTATTTATTTGGTTGATTGGTTATCTAATATCTAGCATTTTCCCTATACAGGATCCAAATGGACAAGATTTAAAAATTACACCATGTAGAATTGGCAGGTTTGAGGCTCAGATGGAGGGCTCAACCTCTCAGTCCAGGATATTTTTTTTATCATGTCAGAGAGGCAAACTGAAAATACTGCAAGTCGCTTCTGGTTTGAGATAATTGGCTGTCTGCAAGGACGTTAACCAGGGGATGCCTGGATGTGTAACCATACTGTGAGAGGCTTCTTTCATGTCCCCACATTGGAAGCTGGGGCTGTCATATGGGAGCTCACCCCATCTCACGGATTCAAACCGCCGACCTTCAGTCTTCAGTTCAGCCAGCACAAGGGTTTAACCCACTGTGCCATCGCAGCTCCAGGATGGTGCAACCTCTCATTCCAGGATGACCACCAGAATCCTTCTCATGTGCAAAGCAGAATTTGTATATTTTGCAACCGTGTTATGAAACTACTAAAACTGGGGTTAAGTTCACAAATGGCAATAATCAGGGACCTTTTTAGATTGGTGACACCAAGAAAGCCCATATTCATTCTATGGCTTCCCTTGCTTTGTTCGGGACAATGTTCAAGCAGCAGAACTGGAAAAGACAGTCAATGGAGAATGATTGCTACATATCAGAGGTGGAAAATTATGGCCTTCTAGATAATGTTGAGCTCAAACCGCCCAGTCAGCATAGTCAATTGCTGGAGATGATGACAGTTGCAGTCCAACATTGTTTGTGGTAGCAGATAGCTGCATGAAATCACTACTGAGGTCATGAGTTCGAAGGCAGCCCGAGTCGGAGTAAGCTCCCAATCATTAATAGTCTAGCTTGCTGTTGACTTATGCAGCCTGAAAGACAGCTGCATCAGTCAAGTAGGAAATTTAGGTACCACTTTATGCGGGGAGGCTAATATAACTAATTTACGATGCCATAAAACCTTCCAGCAGTGTGCAGAAGAATGAAGAGGTACTCCATCAAAGGACCCAGTGTCACAATTGGGTGGTGAAGTGGCAGCTCCCCCTGTGGCTGGAACCATGCATACCCTCATGAAGCCAAAAATGCTGGAATGTTAAATTGCCTCTATATCTGTCTAAGTGGCACTGAATGTTTGCCATGTATATTTACATTATAATCTGCCACGAGTCCCCTTCAAAGTGAGAAGAGTGGAATATAATACTGTAAATAAATTCATAAATGGCTTCATATAAGGCATATTTTATATGTCTTACCATATGACAATTCATGTAAGGAATCTATTTTCATTTTAGAAAGTCTCTTAGAATTCACAAACTGGAAAAAATGCACACACAGATTTGTGGGTAATCCCTAGTTAATTCTGAGACTGCACATAGGGCCCAAACACTGAATTTTCAGTTGTCAGGAATCCTGTATAGCAAAGGTGTATAACTTTTGGTCCCAAGGGTCAATCTGGTATCTGCTGGGAAGCCAGAGCTGCACAAATATCCACACAAGAAGGCAAGAAACAGCCTTTTAACCCAGTAGTCTACCTAAACAGTTTGGTTGGAACTG